AACAAGGTATGTACAAGTAGAAGGTGTAACTGCTTTTCAGATTGAAGGAACCTTGCACTGATCAGATGAATTTCTGAATGATCAAAGACAACATAATTAGATTGCACCTGTTTACCGAGTCTTTGAAGAAATGATTGTCAGCGTCAGGTGTATGCTTTATTGGTGCCTTTTCAATGTGCATGTATCAACAACGACAATGTTAACAATTAATTAACAAGGCAAAAGATGACTTGCCGAGTCCATCAAGTTGGCTCTCACCTCTCTGGACTTTCTGCTATCACTGACATTTGTCTGGGATCAAGGATGTAGACCTTTCAGCATATCATTACAGGCAGGGTAGCAGACATCACCTCAGTTAGCACAGCACAGGCCCCACGACGGATCTCAACTATTCGGCTGTAGTTTTCTCAAAAAATCATGTCCCCTGAAATAGTGTGGACACAAGTCAAAAACATAGCAGATGGACAAATTTAACAAATCACAAAATCTTGAAAACAAAACAAAGACGACATTAAGGTGATCTGCCATTCGGCAAATATGCTGATGGAGTTAGAACATGTAGATGGAGCAGAAATATTTTCCAACATCACATTATTGTGACAATGAACCCTTGAGACAAGAAAACTTGTGTTTACCTGTGTTGTGGTAAATGTAAAGGTTTGTTATGAACAGATATCATCAATCTTTATAAAATTGCACCTAAAAATATGCATAGATGAACTCAAATAACCAAGACTTTTTTAATGAAAGACCAATTGCCAAAATATTAATGTCTAAAACCTTGGTGAAACTGCTCAAAAAAAAAAAAGATCTATGCTTGCAGAGAACTTTCGTACAACTGCACTTCTGGGATGGTCAAGTAAGACATTGAGGACTGTTTAATGTCTTATTCATATGAAGAGTTTTACCGGTGGCAAAATGTGAATTAAAAAGTACGACAGAGTCAATAATGTTAAACAGACTGAAGAATTAACTTGTCAACAATGAAACACAAGTCCGACGGTCATAGCGTATTTTGAGGAGCCTTGCATAGCCG